AACAAAGAAATGGCAAGGTTTCAAAGAAATTGCTTTCGATTTTAGCAAAGAATGATGGTTTTTCTTTTACCGCAAAGACTGAATATTGAAAATATTTGCAAAATTCTAGTTCAGGCGATAAAGCAACATCTACTAAATATACCTGACAAATTTCGAGTAGATCGGACTTCTGGTTTTTTGATAATCATGTCAGCCAGTTTCGAGAAAAACGCGTTTAAAGTTTCAACTACAGTTTAAGACTATACCAAACCGCTTCCTTTGAAGGCATATATCTCTGCCAATTTTGAGAATTAAGCTTTAAAACTTCGTGGAAATATTTTCGAGATGTTAAACTATAAGAAAATGCAAAAAAAAAAAGAAAATTGATTTTTTTCAACCCGTCACAGTAGGAAGACCCCTTAAATGACCACGTTTGCATTTGGTGGAGTAAATACGACAAACCAAATTTTCGATGATTCTTGTATCTAAATCAGGTCGTATCTCATCAATAACACGAATGATGTTTGCTTCGAAATCAACAGTTTGTGGTTTGTTGGAATAAACGAGAGACTTAACATAGCCCCACAAAAAAAAGTCTAATGGCGTCAAGTCGCGAGATCTTGGTGGCCAGTTGACAGCTGCATTTCGATCTCAATAAACTGATAGTTTCAGCAGAAGTGTGGCATGTGTATCTATCCACGATGACTTGCTAAGCACTACTGAGTACAAATGTCACATGACTCTGACAATTCAGTAACGAACGCGGCGGCTGTGATCATTCAAAGTTCTATCGAACTTATTAGAAAAGTTTATTATGCGGGGTTTCAGTTACCGTTGATGATGTTGGTTCGAGCACGAAGGATCGATGCTCCAAGTGACTAACTCGATCAAATGAAGTTTATTAAATTCTGTTTATTTATGAAAAATTAAGCACCAAGCATGTGCTTTGATACTGAAATTGGAAGAATTTCAAAAGGTGGAGTTAATCATTTTGGCTTCTGAGCGGCTCGCATAACGTTCCTGCGCACCGAGACTAATTGTAAGACTGAACACTGACTAGAACTAACTGATTAACTGAACTACTCTGACAATTAGGGGGAGTTCCCCTAGTGCCGGACGTTTAAGGTTTTTCTCAAATAAATCTCTTTACCTGTATACACGCGACTGAAACGTGTAGAAAACTTATTTTTGCTTGTTTTATCTCCCCTAAAGGATACGCGGAATAACGGCTCCGTAGCGTTTCAATTATTACAGATATAGCTAATGTCCGATATTAGGTGCCGTCCGACGTGAAGGGAACTCCCCCTAAGTGTTTTCGCTCGTGGGGGAGAGGGTTTTTATAACCTTCCTGACAAGACCTAAATTGCAGGTTTTGAAAGTTTTATTTATATTATAGATAAGGAATTTTAGAATCCTCTGGAACATTTTCGGCATTCTTTGTAATCTTACCTGTGTCACTCCACGTTTGAATTCACATTCTGTAGTACAAGGATCAAGAAATAATTTTATAATGGTGTTGTAGTAACGTGTTGGAAATATTAAACACAAGAGCGCAGAATTTGAAATGGGTCCTGTTAGTACATACAAGGTGTCCAGTAACTCCTCGAACACCCGGAAATGGGAGGTTGCTGGGATGACTTTGAACAACTTTTTCCTTTACCAAAATGTTGGTTGAAGCTTCGTTTTTGAATTATTAACGAAAAACACTGGCCAATCAGAGCGCGCGTAGAGCCCGCGTCCAGGCACGGGAGCGCAGGGACTCAATAGCGGTGCAAAGTCACATTTTTTTGACAGCAACCGATAACCAAGAAGTCGCGCGTACTCGTTTGTTCACGATCGCGCGCGGATGAGTCGCTGCGCTCCCGTCACTAAGCGCGGACTCTACGCGCGCTCTGATTGGCCAGTGTTTTTCGTTAATAATTCAAAAACGAAGCTTCAACCAACATTTTGGTAAAGGAAAAAGTTGTTCAGAGTCACCTCAGCAACCCCCCATTTCCGGGTGTTCGAGGAGTTACGGGACACTGTATATGTATTATTCCAAAACAATAAACTGGACCGAAGCAAAACAATCGCTTCCATCCTTTTCCTTTTTCTACTTCTACTCTCCTTTCATTCACAGGTTTTCAGAATCTACACAATGATACTTATGCGTGTAGTTAAACAGCCTAATAACTGACTTCTTACTCTGTATTCGCGTTTGAAATGCAAGCAAATTGCAAATGTCAATGTAAGAGCTAATAAAACTTTAATATTTTTTTCCAAGAGAACGGTACATTTGCGACTCATTTGATTTTAAATATCATGCTCAAGGTCAATTTTACAGTCACTTTTTTTAACTGATCTCCACCGATCCGAAGGTGTAGAATCACCAGCCATGATAAATAATTTTTGAACACCCTGTATATATCATTGCGATATATCAAACGAGACATTCAATTTTACTAGGAATTAAAAATTCAGTAAACACTGGCAAGAATTTGCTCGTTTATATTTACATATGACATGCAAAGAAGGTGCAACAGTTTGAACAAAAAAAAAAAAAAAATGAATTGTGTATTTTTAGTTTATCTTTACTAAACTTTGTTATTTAACTTTGTTATTACAAACACAAGATCGAATAAAACTAATGTTTATATGAGACGAATTTTCAAAATAAATTATTTAGAAAACGAAGCTTCACGTGGAAAAAATTTATTCTATAATTCGAACTTACTTTTGCATAAATATGTGTATAATAGATATGCATTTCTACAATCGATACTACTGTATCCTGTATGTGTGTATACTTTAGTATTTATTCAATGCAATACATTATATTATATGTATGTATAAAAATATAAAAGTATTTTCTTGAAAGTCATAAATGTTTGTTTTCATTATGACACAATAGATTATTTACAATGTAACAAATCTTGTTATAGTGATCAATTTCAACACCATGTGGCGTCCTTTTCTCGCTTTATGATAGGACTTGTTACAGTATATGTATATACTAAATGTTAGCGAGTAATAAGATAATACACGCAGTCTTCGAAAATTAATATGGATGTAGTCTTACAGAGTATTGCTAAATACATTTATGAATACAACTTAGTTCAGTTGTGTTTGTACTTGTATTTGATTTAAATTTGTAAGGAAAAATGTTACGATTTTTCCGTTTATTTTCGTTTAGGTAGGACGTGCGGTTCTACCACAGGGAATTAAACCTCGAATATTTATTTATATATCAGGCTTAAAATCCCGATATACTATTGTAAAATTAATAATGTAACATTACATATCAATAATACAATATGATCTCTTATAATACGCTACTATTGTAGACAATCACATGTTCTAAGTGTTCACTAGCTCTTTTACCATTTTCATATCATTTCCAACGTTAATGAATGATTCAGCATATAATAAGACTGGAATACTAGTAGTAGTTCGAATTAAAACCAAACGTGACTATAATTATGAACAAATTGTATTGACGAGTTATGTTTCTACTACATCACAGATAAGATACACAGAAATTGTTGAAACTATTACTAATTAAAATTATAGTTGCACTAAATTCTTTAAGTTTTTCGTTTTAAAAATCAATTTCTTTAACAATCAGACAAAAAGTTAAAATCGGAATTAAGATGTTAGTAGAAAATATTAAAAGATAAGAAAATCATATCTAAATACAAAATAGAAGTACATAATACATATATTTTACTCAGATAGCACACGATGTTTTAGAGACGTTCACTTTACGTCAATTTTCAGACTCTTTTGGATGTTTTTAGGCTTCTAATAGAAGTTTTTAAGACGTTTCGAATGTAGATAAACGTTTTTAAGGGGTCATCAGAGGACAAACTATTAGGCCAATTAATTTAATTCTTTTTGTATTATAAAGTACATGTTTATAGAGTAGAAAACAGGAATGAAAAATTAAAAAATTATTAGAAATATAGCGCTTGCATACAATGGCGTAGAACGGTTTTTGGCGCTTCCTCAAACGGTGGACATGATTTAGCCCGTGCGAGTTATTAGAAACAAAGATTTTTTATTTTTAACGCTTTTTGAAATCGTAGTTTTCTTGCTCACGTGGGACTTTTTCTTAGAAAAAAGGAAATTGTAGCAATGGCAATAATTTGAAAAAAGGGTTATGATGTTTATTTAAAAAAACGTACATTTTCTTTTGTTACTCAAAAATAGTTCAATTTATTTAAAAAAAATTTCATTTAGAATACGATGATGCAATTATCATGCCGACCGTCTTGAAAAATGTTTGGAGAAAAACGCGTTTAAAGTTTTGTAATGAGCCTTCAGAGTGGCACAACCCCGTTTCGTTTGAACAGCTGTAACTTCGCCAATAATCGAATTTCGAGTTTGCTTTGAACTTAAAACATTTCTACGATGTATTTTCAAAATATGTAAAATAATTAATTTTTTGAAATCGGAAAACCTAAATATATGACCCTTTAAGGCATTCACAAGGCGTCTGTATGCTATTTATGTATGTAGGTATTTCTAGCCCGTGATAATGCTAAACGTTAATACTTATTTACAATTATAATTATTTTAAATATTTGTCTTCAGTAAATTTAACTATCATTCTTTATATAGAATATAAATGAATATCACCCGTAACTATAGATGTTTAAGATAATTTTTACTACTGCGAACATGACATAGAATCGGAAGCACGTGTTGCGACAGTCGTAAATTTAATTTAAGATTTTGTAATAACAATAATATTGATTAATTCTTAAATTTAATTGGGTTATAACAATAAACTTTAAACAGTAATATATTTCACGGTAATGTTAAAAAATAATATTGTATTAACCCTTGACAAAAACATTAGAACATAACCTATTATTAGCCGGTTACACTATTTACTACAAAATTTATAAACTATTGTTCAATTTGCACATGTGATCCAATTTGATATCATAATAATAAGTTAATATCAGTAATTTTTTTAATGCATTATTTAAAATTTTCTCTGTTATGTACAAGTATTATGCACCATCATATTTTTACAGATGCTTAAATATCGTGAACCAGTATCAGCATTTGCAGTGTATGCTGTGAAACGTAAGAATACGGAATTATCATCAAATTCAAAGAAATTAAAAAGAAAGCATATTTCTTCTGAGAAAAAAGCAGTTTCAAAGAATAGCACAAAACTGCAAACACAAGAAAACATAAAACAAATACCTGTGCACAGAAATATTCAAGAAAAAAGCAAAGTTTCTACAAATAAAATTCAAAACACAAATAAAAAAGTAATACCTAAAAAGATTAGCAGCTCTATTATGAGTTCTAAGAAAAATAAATCAATTCAAAACCAAACACACAAAAGAAATGATAAAAAAGTAATCTTAATTTCTGGTTCAAAAGGAACCGAATCAAAGAAAAAATTAAAAAGTTCCCTGTTGACAGTAAATTTGGGTGTTGCAAAAATGAAACAAATTGGACAAAATGAGAGAAAACAGATCAAAAGTAAAAAGTTACCAAAAAAAATTATCCAAGAAACTGTTAATGCTAATTGTGGGACAACTGAAGAAAATCATGAGAATCCTTTAAAAACAAGTCGATCAATATTTGAATGGTTAATACATCCTATGAACTCAGACAAAATTGGGAAAGAGCACCTGTTCAGATAAAGAGGAATTTTCCTAGGTACTATAAGATTCTTATGTCCACTCCAATGTTGGATAAGATATTAAGAGAATCTTATATTTTATTTACAAAAAATATTGATATTACTTCATATGAAAATGGTGTGAGACAAACACTTAATCCTTCTGGTCGTGCAATTCCAAGTGTTGTTTGGGACTATTACATGAATGGATGTTCTGTTAGAATGTTGAATCCACAAACATATATACCAAAACTACATTTGTTAAATGGTAATTATTTTTATGATAGCAGTGCTTCTTTTTTATTTTTTTATTTTTAGTTTTGGGATCTCTAAAGAAGTTAAGGGGGTATTCTAGTCTAGTGTCATTTTCTAGGCCTCTTTTGAGATTTTTTTTAGAAAGAAACCATAAGACTTCTTAGTATCGATTTTTTGTACACATATTTATTTATGTTTTAAGAATATTTCATTTTTTTAAAGTGAAAATAATCAAAATTGACTAAATTATAAGTTATTTAGTACAGTCCCGTTAAAAAAAAGTGTCCTACTGGCTGACATGATTCCAGCCATTCTACTTATCCGAAACGAAAAAGCCGAAACGAATAAAGAAAAAGATTCTTTATTAGCACGAGTGTGGCTATGGTGTGAACCAGAATAAAAGAAAATATCAAAAATTAAAAAATGCACTTTAAATGTTTATTTTTTCCATTTTTTTCGTGTTTTGTGGATTATAATATCAGGAAAGAAAAGAATTTTTTTGGTATTTCTGGTTCCTGCGGCAACGACACATCTCTCGAAGGTGTATGCAAAATTTGGAATCAATCAGTCAACTAGAACTTGAGATATCGTGTCTTGCTGGTCAATAGTCACTCCCATACAGAAAAAACATGCAGAATTGATGAAAATTTTTCGTTGAATATACAGATGACTAAAAACGTGGCAATTTCGACAGCTGTTACTCCTGAATGTATTTGTTTTGGAGCGAAAATTCAAATCAACGAATTTAACGATTTGTTATTTGTGTTTCCGCATCTAATCATCTCTTCAATAATTTGTCTATAGAAGAATTTTTGTAGATCGGTTTAATTATTTCTAAAATTTTATCACTAAGAGCTGTTTGTATTGCAGGCTGTGTGTAGTGTTCTTGTATAATTATATCTGCAACTTTGTTATTTTTACAAATTCAGATAAAGCTTTCCGTTGACATAATTTCGAAAGCCTAAACTTTCGGAAAATACAACAAAACAATCGATTGTTTGAAAAGTCTAGACTAGAATATCCCCTTAAGTTTTTAGTAAAATTTTTTCATAAATACATTTTTTAAGCAATTTATTATTACTGATATTAATAAAGTTTATTTGTCATTTTCAGCTACACTTCAGGAATTTTTTGGCTGCTTTGTTGGTGCAAATTCTTATCTAACACCCCCCAATAGTCAAGGTTTTGCACCACATTATGATGATATTGAAGCCTTTATATTACAAATTGAAGGTAAAAAGAGATGGAGACTGTACAAACCACGAAATGAAAATGAATACTTGCCGAGGTATTCTTCAGAAAACTTTACGCAATCCGAAATTGGTGAACCTATATTAGATACAGTTTTAAATGCGGGAGATTTGTTATATTTTCCACGTGGAACAATACATCAAGGTGAAACTATTGATGACACACATAGCCTTCACATTACTCTAAGCGTCTATCAAAAAAATAGTTGGTGTGACTTTTTGGAAAAGTTACTTCCAGATGCATTAAAGACTGCTACAGAAACAAATAGTGAATTTCGAAAAGGATTACCTATTGATTATTTAAGAGACAACGGTTATACGTATTCTGGAATTCAGAATAGTACCAAAACGGAATTCAAGGAAAAAGTTAAAGATTTATTCAGTAAATTAATAGAATATATTGATATAGATAAAGCTGCAGATTTAATGGCAAAGAATCATATCCATGACTTCTTACCACCCGTTCTTTCGGATAATGAACTGGAATGTTCTGTTGTCCAAGATGGTGAAAGGATGATTGCAAATGGAATCGTTGAAAATAGGGTAGAGATAGAACCTGACACAAGAATTCGATTATTAAGGTCTCATTGTATAAGGTATGACTTAATAAGGAAGAATATGAACTAGTAATATATTTGTTTTTGAACAATATTTAGTATTATTATTAAAATAATGTTTGAATTATATAAAGTTGAAATTGTACAATTCACTTGACTTCGGGCAAGCATTGACTTCGAAATTTCAATTGTAGTACCACAAATTTCAGATTAAACTGTAATTTTGCAAAGCTTAATATGAAAGTAAAACTACCATTTTAAAATATATTATTTATAGGTTAATTGAAGAGGATGAGACATTTAGGATGTATTATTCTACTGAAAATTCTAAGGAATATCATGAATTTGAACTGCAATTTTTAGATGTTAGTCAAGAATTTGTACCTGCAATACGAGAAATAATATTACGATATCCTGAGTTTATACGTGTAGAAGATCTACCAATTGATGGTGAAGATAACAAAGTAAGTGAAGGACAGTTAAAAATCATACCAATTTAACAGTATAATTATAATTATTTATGTTTTATAGGTACAGATAATCAAGGATCTTTGGGAAAAATGTCTTATTGTAACGGATAATCCTTTATGTGTGTTGGAATAATCACATATTCGTAGGTAATTTGTAAAAATTTAATAAAAAAATAAATTTTGAAGCTTAAGGGTTTCTAAAAGTATTAGTTACTAATCAAATTTTTATTTGTGTATACAAGAAATATGCATTAATACATTATGTAAAAGCGTATTTGTAATAGAATTTTTATTGTTTTTGAACATTTATTTACATTACGATTGTTTATATCAAAAATTAAAGAAATTGTAATCATTTTTAATAATTATGAAATTAGTACATTGCAATTTGTTGATCATAACTTCAGTACTTTTATTTCAATTATACAAAACATTATAAATCTTTTTGTAACATGAAAAAATATGTATAATTGTAACTTTCGAAATGAAAGATAAGTCTGTTACGATTAGTGTATGCAAAATAATGAGTACAGTTATATTTTGATACCTTCAAACTATGTTAACATATTTTTAATTTAGGTCTTTTTATTTACTAGATAAAGATACTAAATGTAGGTAAATTGACAAATGAATAACATTCGCATATCAAGAACCTTTTTTCATTTGTATATCTAAGGTTAAATATATTAAATACATACAAAGTAGATACTTTTCTAAAAGATAATATATATTTTAATGTTGCAAAGAATTTCATGTTATTCTGAGTTGTTCACTCTTCAAAACCATAACAGAATTAAAACGTGTCATTAGATAGCACACGACGTCTTAGAGATGTTTATTTTACGTCCATTTTTAGTCTGAATGTCTTACGACTTGATTTAAACGTTTTAAAGACGTATGTACAAATCGGTACGTTCTAACAACATATAATAATTACATCTTTAAGACGTGTCTAAAGCCAGCGCATAATGCTTTACGCCACGTTGCAAAGACATATAAAGATACGTATCAATTTGTTGCATATCCGCGTATCCTATCATCGTTACGTATCAATTTTGACGGGCAAGCATTGCACCGTTGCGTATCAAAATGTGACGCATCTTAATCAAGACGTCTGTGTACTATCTAGGTTATATTTTCATCAATTCATCAATTATATCTTCATTAAAAAATAGTACAAATAAATTAAAAATATAGATGTAAATAATGTAGAAAAAATCAACATAATTAAACTATTATAAATAATAAATCAAAGCACCGGGACTCGAATCGGCGTTTGAAAATGTCGGTTTTTGAATAAATGGACATTTAATCATGGTACCAATGTCTAATACATGTGAATACTTTAGTGATTAACTTTAATTATTACTATCTTGTAAAAAATTAGTCCTCCCATTCAAATGACGCATATATATACTACTCTGTAGAAAAAGTTCCAGGGCAAATCAAATAAAATACGAAATATTCATTTACTCAGCAATATCTATTTGTTCGCTTTCCTCATTGTTTGAAATTTACTTACGCTAACGGTCTTTCTAATCTTCATAGCATTGTTGGAACTAGATTTCTGGAATGGCTTTTAGCTCATTTAGCGAATTTTGTTTTACTATCTCACTCGACTCAAAACGGCGTTTCCGTAGTGGAAGTTTCCATCTGGGCAACAGAAAAAATTCATACGTTGCTTGGTCAAGCGAATGCGATGCTTGCGAAGTGATGTTAGTTGAGTTTTTGGCCAAAAGGTCGCGAACAAGCATCGAAATGTGAGCCGGTGTATTGTGGTGCAAAATTCACGAGTTGTTTATTCATAAATTCTGCTGTTTTTTGCGGATCAAATTACACAAACGCCTTATGATACCCAAGTAGTAGTGTTTATTGACTGTTTTACCAGTTGGTAGGAATTATTTGTGTATATACCATACAGCGATAATCAAAGAACGAATTTGTCTTGGAACTTTTTAAACATTGCGGATCAAATTACACAAACGCCTTATGATACCCAAGTAGTAGTGTTTATTGACTGTTTTACTAGTTGGTAGGAATTATTTGTGTATATACCATACAGCGATAATCAAAGAACGAATTTGTCTTGGAACTTTTTAAACAGGCTTTGACAGACGAATTGTATATATAGGATGTCTTAGCTAACTTGAAGTGGGGGGACACCAGTTCGAGCACCTACTTAGCTTCCAGATAGCAAGTGCGTATTAAAAATTATTTCCTTAATATCTCGTTAACTATTAGGTTTAGGACATATGAAGGTCAATATATTTTTATTCAGAATTTGCTACTCTATCGATTTATGATACAAAAAATAGGCTATTCCATTGAAAAAAAAACAAGTTGACCTTTATATCTCCGAAATGCCTCCACCTAATGTGCCCCTCGATACCATTTAAATTCCATACATCAAAATTTTTATAAAATGTACCGTTTAGTAATTATTCGAAGTGGTTATGTTAGCTGAGACACTTTGTAGTGAAAAAGTTTCTTTAACAGTAGAGCAGGGTAATTAGGAGAGTTGCATGAACCATCTTGATGAAGATATATACAAATTATTTTGATGAATTTATATTAGTACGAATAACGACATATACGTAAAATAAATAATATAGTATCTCAGATTAAAATTGCTTGTATTCAAAATTATACTTTTTGTACATTTTAGTAGAAGAAATTATTCTAAATGAATTTATGAGATAGAAATAAAAAAACTTTTTACACGCGTTTTAAATATAAAGTGTGTTACATAAATTTTTAAAATACATTCCATCAATCGAAGCTTTATATCTGATAGAATCTTATTTTCCGATATTCAGTTTGCTGTCCCTTTTTGCTTGAGCAATATGATCCCTTTGTCTTCCAAGTACATATTCGATATATCCAAGATATCCATCGTGATCTAAATCGTCTTCCTTCAGCACTCTGTCTACCAGTTCTTCGTAATAAAAAACAATAATTAGTTTTTTTGCATACAGTATGTTTTACATTTTTACTTACATCACAGACTTTCTTGTAATTTTACATTTTAAATTACACTTATTTAACGAAACCTACTACAATTTTGTAATTTACAGATAAATATCTACAAGAATAGTTTACAGAAAGGATTTCTAATTAATATTGAATTTATAATTTCGCGCTTGTAATTTTATTAGCAGTAAGTTACAAATAGAAAATGCTTAAATTGGTATTTTTTATATTTATCATCAGAAGGTATTTCGATGAATTTAAATTAATTAACACGAGCATTTCAAATATCTTCATCTCTTTTGATGATGAGAAAAAGAAAAAAAGATATTCCGTTCTATAGGTCAATATTGTAATAAGCAATGATTTTTTAAAACGTAATTATACATTTTCATTAACTCGATGTTATAGCCTACAAAAGATATAAATTAAATTATACATAGGGTGTTCTGCAATTAGTGGCACAACAATGAAGATTGATTCTATACAAAAAGAAATAAACCGAAAATATACAATAAAATTTGTTCATAGGAAGCTTTATTTTTGAAAAAATTTAATTTAAATATTCGTTGAGTGCACGCGTATGTAACTATCTCTCGCAGGGTCGGCGCTAGTGTGCTTGGCGCCCTTGTGCAAGAATTTATATGGCATCCTAAAATTATGGTTTTTACAATGTTTAGCATTAATTTGTTATTTGTAACTGTATTGTAACTTGCGATTCACACAAAAAAACACAGAACACCACTGAAGTGACTCATGAAGTTTATAAACAATATAACCGCTTAGTGAAAATTAAAAAATGTTTCTTTTGCGTGGGAGTTGCCTTTGTCATTAGTGCCCTTGACATCAAGCACTCCTATTTGTTAGTGCGTTCCGCCGGCCCTGATCTCTCGGCTTTATGTTTGTACTAACAATCGATAATACATTTATCAGCGATTTCCTTAACTTCAATTTACATTACTGAGCGAACTGTTGAAAATGTCGCCCTTATTAACGCATACAAGTCTCTTCTCTTTGAATCAGAAAATCGTGGACTGATGATATGGTATTTCAATGCTTTAATTGTTTCAAAGTTTACGATTTTTCCTTTTAACTGCGGAAAATTTACACTGTCTTCTGCCCAGAATATTTCTTTGCGAAATGTGACATTACCGGTGTTTATCAACGTACAAGTATGAGCGGAAGCAACAGTTTGTAGCGAATATTTAAATTCAATTTTCTCGAAAGCTAAGTTACTTTTATGAAAAAATTTTATTCTGTAGATTCAGCCACTTCACGGTTATACTACCACTTACGGAACATCGAATATAATATAGTAATATTTAATTAACGTTCAACAATAAAAATCACTTTTTATGTGAAAGGAACTGCATAAAATTTACGTGATGTATGTATTTGATTTAATAATTAGCAACTTAATAAAAATTTGTTACTTTTTGTATAAGTATAAATAAAATTCTAGGGATAAGTTTGACAATTTCAAATGTTAAACAATTTATTTTGCTTGATTCGTTAGTTTTCGAAAATATTTGCAATTTGAATAATATTATTATTTTGTACTATTTCAATTAATGCCTTGGTCTATACCAGAGGCGCTTAACTTCTTGCTCACGAGCAAATTTCCCCTCCCGAGGTTCCCCCACTATGCGACTGAGATGGTCTCGCTCGAGTTGCGGCGCGGTGGGAGGAGGACGCGAGGAGTCCTCCCACCACAACTCCAGCGACTGCCGTTGGTTATGTTACACATTCTGCATGTTCCGTACCGCATAGTGGGGGAACCTCGGGAGGGGAAATTTGCTCGTGAGCAAGAAGTTAAGCGCCTCTGGTCTATACTTTCCATAATATCTGTACTAATATTCCACTTGTTATTAACGTTTTCGCATCGTTGCTTAGCAATTTAAAAAAAAGTGTGCACGTACATTTCTTTATGGTGAGGAGTAGAATATAAATAAAATGTTAGGGTAAATGGAACGTTAATTAAATTCACTATTGTTTTTCTGACCTTTGGTTAGAAACAGTTTTTCTAACCGTTTGTGTTTTAAAAATTCTTAAAACTGTATATAATTCATGTCGAAGTTGCATTTGGTATAAATGCATGCTTTCAATGTTTCGATTTTTAATTGGATGTTTTTACTGGCCCACATATTGTTCACTAATGAAAATACTTGTTCAGTGGGGGCGTTAGATTCAGGGAGACATAAGTAACAGTTTCATATTGCGTGCCAATGTTCATTTTACTGTTTCAATTCACAAAATAAAGAACAAAATGGTCGTTTTAGAAAAAAAATCAATCTAAAAGAAGTAACTAAGTAACTAATGTACATACCTACAATCCAAGGTAAATCATCTTCATAATCCATAGTTCTCGTATCTTCACTTACATTATCACGTTCAGTTTCGGTAAGTCTGTTTTCGTGAAATGTATGCTGAATCGCATAAAGAATTTCTAACCCGTCCAATTTCTCGTTATTGTCGATATCGTGAACTCTACGATTAATCAATGACATTTTTCTAATTAAATAAATTCTTTTAAACTTTCCAATAAGTTTATAATCTTTTGATAGTGCATTATTACTTCATATACAGGGTGTTCCGTTTAACTGGAAGCGGTGGAATATCATGTGAAATATTCCACTGTTTCAAGTTAAACGGAACACCCTATATGTATATTCTGTGTACCGACTGTGTAGAGCTTGGGAGTTTGCCCCCAAATAGAAGGAATGCGGGTCTGATTGGGTCATATCTCCGTAAGCCCACCTTCTCTAACATAGTCATAAAAATAGGGCTTATTATTGGCCGACGCGATAACATCGACGAATCGGATCATTTGAAATTCTGTGACGTATAAATTTAGGCGGAGCGAGTGAAATGCCCTTTTTGCCCCTGTGCCGCCCTGCGGGCAAACTCCTGAGCGGCGCACAGTACGTATAACAACGCTTATAATAAAAACGTACTTAAAGTAATGGAATTCGATTTCTGGTTCGGTCATATTCAAAAAGTCCAACTGATCTGCCAACGGTCCTATGTCTTCCTTTAAATGCCTGAAATTTTATGCTTATATTATTAGTTTTTGTAGCATTAACCGAATGTTCAATTGTAGCATTCAAGAATTACAAAAATATGGTCAATTTAAATCACCTTTATCACGTTGTATAACGTGCAGAAATATAAACGCAAAATTAAATCTAATTTCTTATTATGTCTTTAGATTGATATATTTGTATGAGAAGAAAATTGATTTTTGTATACATATACAGGGTGGGGTAAGTAAATAGGTACATCTGAAAATGTTTACAGGTGAAAAAGCTCGTTAGGGCAAAGTTAAGCTGTTTGGAGAGCTGAATAAATTGATAAAAAGAAAAAAATTAAGCGATAACTGTTACTGTTGGTAAACGAACGCGTTGATCCATTAAATATTATTGTAAACGGCGAAAAAATGTTGCTTCTTTGTAAAATTTTATTTATGAGAAGTACTGTTAGACTTACGTTTTTGTTAAAGAAGCAATACATTGTTCGCATTTCTAGATAACATTAAAAATAAACCAGCATTGCACTTTATTTCGGTAACTTATCGACATTTGTCGATTATTTATTATAAATGTGTTTTGATATCTTTCATTGTTCAAAAGAGTATCTGTTGTACAGTTCTAGACCAATTCTAGACATCTGTATGTATATTATGATATATTGTTGAGGCGACAAGGTTAGCTGGTCATGGCACTGAGAGGCTGTTGGGGCACCCGTTTCGCTTTACACGGCACTGGTCAACGGTGCGTTGATGTTACGCTCTCGGTATTGCAAAAAAGGATATTTTCGCATCGTGTTGTAAAATCATAGGATATACATATGTATTTATGAATATTGTGTTCAATAAACTGAGTCACTTATACAGGGTGTCCGATTTTTTGCCGACCAAACTTTGTCAGTATGTTCTGCGGGTATAAATAAGAAAAAAATATTATATAAACATAGGTCCTCTGATGCTTTATTAAACAGTTATAACAAAAATACGAAGGAAATGTTAACGAACTTGCCGTTGCTATGATACAAGACACAAAATGGCACCGGCCGAAGTTACATTTAACACCTTCAACGATCTCGGTTCGTAAACGTAGCTCACATAAACAGACTATGTAAATAGCTGTAAATATCGCTTATCTATACCAACTGTGCATCGTAATAACCGCACACCCGTTATCGTTCTCTTTGTATTTTGTATTATCATTATAACTTTCTAACAGAGCTTCAAACGACTTACGTTTATATAACATTTTTCTCTCACTTGTACCCATAGAACACACTGACAAAGTTTGGTCGGAAACAATTCGGACACCCTGTATATCTACTGCAAACCATTGCCTTAATATTTCTTCAAAATGACTGATGTACCTATACAATCGTATTTGGCTTTTAGAATTTTCTATTACGTTTCTTCGACATTGTAAAATATTCAAATTATTTCTTCGTTCACAATACTAGAAACAAACGTTGGATTTATTCAGTTAGCATAAAAAGATATACGAAGAAATTTTGAAATTAAAAAAGGAAGAAATTGTCAAGTATACTTTTCCTGACAAATTAAGATGCATCGACGTTGATTTTAATAAATCCCTATCAACAGTTTAAAATTATTGTATAAGTAAATAAGATAGAATATTGAACACATTCATTAAATAAAATTACGATACTAAAGTGATGAATTAAGTATTAACTAACGTTGTGTCCTGAAGTAGTTCTGCATCTTGCGTTATTTTAACACCTTTTTGTGGGGAATAATGATGATGGGAAACAGCACTTCGTGGGTGATGTGGTCCTCGAAAACCATCAGAAAGTCCAATGCAGAAACCAATCAGAAGTGTGAGTATCATTTGTTCGTCTGAAGCAATTTTGATAAAAATTCATTGTTACATTGTGTTTGATACACTGAATAATGTTACATGCATAAAGGTATTTCAAAATATTAATTTATCCTTTTATGCACTTACATGCAGAAATGTAAACACAAAATATCTGTAGTTATTTCAGCGTATTACTTCGAACTATGTAATTATGAATTATTAATTGTACTAAATCGTGACAGTGGAAAATGTATAAAGCAGTATTTAAATTTTTATCAAAAGAACTGATTAAAAAGGAAAACATAATTCTGCTTTTTCTTTCAAAATAAGAAAAACATTATTCACTTAAAAATGCAAAGTATACGTTACATTTCTGTTTATTTTGTATTTTTAATGCCACAAAATGAATTGCATAATTTCGGTAATAGCTTGATGACAATAACTATTGAATTTACATATTCATTTTACATATTGGAATTTAAATAAGTAAATAAATATTGTTTATAGGATCTTTCTTAATATAGTTTAAATCACGTTCATTATATTAAGAATTATAACAAAAATGAGGACTATAATGTTATTGATAAAAATTACCTTAACGTACTGTACATACATATACAGGGTGTCCTTTTAATTCATAATGCAAAAACGAAGCCTGATACGTAGAAACCATTATTCTGTAACTTCGATTTATTTTTCCACAAGGAATCGTCCTGTTCGCAATTACTGGGACACCTTGGCAAATGTTTCCAGATCAACGAATGTTACAAACATAAATTTGCTAATCTTTATCTAAGATTTTTATTACAATAATGTAATTTGAACGTATATTATACTTGTGATTTTATTCTACAGAAAAAGTGTTAGCTTTACATACAATTATACAGGGTGTCCCAGGTTTTAACGGTCAAACGTTGTCAGTATATTCCATGGGTTGAAATTAGAAAAAAATGTTAGACAAACATAGGTCTTTTGAAGCTTTATTAAAAAGTTATGGCAATAATACGAAATGAAGAGAAGAATAGCAGTCTCGCGGTTACTGCGGAAACCTTTGATATTTACATCTATTTATTTATACAGGGTGTCCCAGGTTTTAACGGTCAAACGTTGTCAGTATATTCCATGGGTTGAAATTAGAAAAAAATGTTAGACAAACATAAGTCTTTTGAAGCTTTATTAAAAAGTTATGGCAATAATACGAAATGAAGAGAAGAATAGGAGTCTCGCGGTTACTGCGACATACAGGGTGTCCCGTAAAGAGTGTAACACCGGGAAATGGGGGGATGCTGGGGTGACTCTGAACAACTTTTTCCTTTACCAAAATGTTGTTTGAAGCTTCGTTTTTGAATTATTAACGAAAAACACTGGCCAATCAGAGCGCGCGTAGAGCCCGCGCTCAGGGACGGGCGAACAGAGATTCACCCCACGCGCTATCGTGAACAAGAGTACGCGTGACTTCTCGGTTATCGATTGCTGTAAAAAAAATTTGTGAGATTCACCCCACGCGCTATCGTGAACAAGAGTACGCGTGACTTCTCGGTTATCGATTGCTGTCAAAAAAATTTGTCTTTGCACCGCTATTTTTATAAGGCTTAGAGAAATGGATTTTGCCGTCATTCCGACGTTTGTATAAATTTTTGAAAAAAAACTGCAATTAGTCGGGATCGCGAAGAAAATAGCGAAGGTCGTTTTTCAACTTTTTTATCTGAGCTCGTAATGAAAATGTAAAAAATACGTTTTGTAGATCTATGTCAATTATACACACGCTGAAAATTTCATCGAAATCGGTTAATGTTGCTATGAGCTACTTCACTCACAGGGTGAGTGAATAAGAAGTAACTCGTTCCTTATTGATTTGATAAAAATAAGAAATACCGGTAGATACAATATTATGCAACTTTCAAACCTTATTGCATAAATATTAATTCGTCTTGACAGTATAAAAATATATACATACATATATAGCATACCATTGAGAAAGAATTTAAAATCACCGTGATATCTCGAAAAATTTCAAAAATAAAAAAAAATTACAATGACGAGCTCCATCGAATACAGTGTATAATATTTCATAGAGAAACAATTTCTCATAAAATCAATAAATAACAAGTTATACCAGATGGCAGTCCATACGGACTCACCCTATATTTAGTAATTATTACCAAAAATGTAAAGCGCAACAAAATGTCGGTGTTTCAGTGAAAATGTTGGAAAAACGTAAAAATCAGACATAACGGTTTAAAAGAATACGAGGAAAGCCGGCTATCGACACTGCGTGACATTTCTTACAGTGCGCAATAACAATAGGACCTGCTGAGATACGCTGATCGCCTACGTTGTCGTAGCATAGCCTACTGCCACTTGTAGGGGGTTGCACACCCCTTGGCTAGTGACAGATGGGCGGTAGAGGGGGTCCTAGTAATTATTATGCGATTACCCACAAGCCCATTGATTTAGATTGGACCCCTGGGGAAGGGGAGCGCAGTGCAGGACACTGGGCCCGTTTTCAAATTTGCTACACATCACTCGTCAAGAACTTCGTGATCGTTCAGAATATTGGGTGTGCAAATAAGTTCTCGCGGTTCTTTGCGAAAATATATTTATCGATTAATATATCAATAAATATATCAGGTCTACCGGACAGTTCTCTCTTTTTTCTTTTTTTAATTAAAAGAAAATAATACATTTTCAATAGATTTATTAATATTCATCGAACAATATACTTTCCATCGTTACCAATGACCTCTTCCCAGCGCGATGGTAATTTGTGGATTCCATTTCTGTAGAATGACTCATCTTTGGATCTTGAGATCAGATTATCGGACAGAACTTTCCGGTAGACCTAATATCTTTTTAACACTTTCTGGACGACAGCGAAATTCACGAAACATCGGCTTAAGACCGGATGATTCGATTTTACGATTTTGAAGCGTTTATCATTATTAATACGTAATTTTGTTCAGTTTCTGATCTTTTCAGTTCTTAGATACACGTGACTTTTCATGGAATATTATAGAATAATGTGGTCACCGGTGGGCCACGTTGGAAAATACGTAAGATTCACCGTTGGGTCACATCGTCCTCAACCTGTTAAATATACATATATTTTTTTTAATGTTTATTTGTTTAGTGATTGCTATTCCTCCTCATCAATCGTCTGAGACCGTCCAAAGTGCTATTTATCGTTAACATCCAAATCGCCACTTCTAAACCCTTTAAACCAATCTTGACACGTTCTTTTTGACACAGTATTGCCCCCACAAATGATTCTGGCTGTTTCAGTGGCAGTTTTTCCGCGGTGAAAGTAACGAAGCATACAACGGCGACCGTACACCTTGTCAGCGTTCGTTATTAATCTTGCAAAATAAATGTTTATTTGTCAAAAAGAAATTTGAACAAATGAAGAGCACCAGAGAATTGTTAGCATCATTTACACTTGACCGTGAGAACTTATTTATATTTAATGTGAATATACGATATATAAAATTACGATAATTCACGTGAATCTATAAAATGTATGTTTTAAATTTTCACCAGAAATTCAGATAAAAAAGTTGTAAAAAGTGACCTTTGCAATTTTCTTCGTCGCGATTCCCACAAGTTGCAATTTTTTCAAAATTTCTCGGTTTCGTCGTCTAGTAAACTAATCCTTTTAACTTCTCAAAAAAAACTTAAGTCGTTTGGTCTAATTTTTAAAAAAAGTTATTCTGTTTTAAAGGGCGTTCCAATACACTTTTCACCCACTATGTAAATTTACATGAAAATGAACGAACGTTTTGACAAAAATTAACGAAAGCATACTACTTTTTAATAGAGTATAAAAATTAATAAATTTTTCAAGAAAGTTTTAACAAAATTTATCGTTGTAAAAGAAGCGTTTTACACATTCTTTTGAACCCAATAACCTTCAGTATATTAAAGAAAATTTGACTTTCAATCCCAACTTTTAGAGTTATTTCAACAATGGAGTTAGTTACTTCTTAAGGAGTTACAAAACCCTTCAACAAAAAAAAAACGCATATTAAATAGTTTTTTCAAGAGCAACTTCGTATATACATGAGTTTCACAAAAATCGGAGATTTACTTTTGGGGATTCTTCCTTGTAGGTGTAATAAAAGCAAACGCAAGTTGTTTAAAGCTATATTGACATTTAACGAAACATTAGGTCAAAAATTATCGTAATTGTACTACCTTTTTCGTATATTCCTTAACCCTCTATGGGCCGAATATGTTTCTTGACTGTAAAAGAATTTATGTAACGTAAAATTAGCAAATATCGACCTATAAATACAGAATAACAGTGAATTCAGCAGTTTCGACAATTTTATCATAACGAATACATATTGTAACTTTGAAGTAACAACGGTTATCAAGAAAGTTACTGGTTAATAATTTTGTGGAAGAAAGTTCAATTATTTAATAAAATATCGATATATTAGTATGTGACTTGAAAGTTACACGGGCCCATAGAGGGTTAAGTTTTTTTAGGTTAGGATTCAAAAGAGTCAGAATAATCGAGCATCGTGAAAATTAAATATTCAATAACATGTGAAAAATTCAGCATACAAATTCAATTGACGATGTAAATACTGTAATTACATCTATTTTTTGCTCGTCGAATAATTTCTTGTCTAAGTTATACATTTTTTTAATACACAGAATGAACAGCGTAACGTGATCACCTTAAATTATCCTCTTATTAATGGATCGATGAAAACATTTTTTCTATCACATAATTTATAACACATTTTATCAGTTATTTTTCTTTCAAGTTTTCAGGGTCAACTTCCTTCTACGATAGATCTCCATTTATCTACAAAAAAACTAAAGGTTAGGTTTGGTTAGGTTAGGTGACCACAAAAACTTCGAAAGAAAGGAACAGCCGATCGAAAGTATAGTATAGTCATCATAAGAGACTTCTTTGAAAGAAAAAATATTCGATCAGTCTATTAATATTAGAATTTATGGTAATAAATTAAAAGGTATTATTTGAATTATAAATACTTCTTTATTTTGATACGCGAGGAAGGCACGTCGC